GGTTTAGGGCTTTGGTTTAGGGTTCGCAAGAAGCCAGAAGACCACAACAGCTCAAGCCCAAAATCCCAAACCGCAGAGGGTTTTAATACCGCAAGGGTGTGATCGTCCTGGCCTGCTGCGAGCTTTTTTTTTGCGGAGCTGAGGGATTGGCAATTGGGAGTTCAGGATCACCCATATGACATCAGTTTCAGCGTAATGGTTACAGTCTGAACTGTCGCACGACGTGGGCTAACGCACTGCACCCTTACCGGATCTTCTAGGTGCAACTAGACCTTCAAATCCTAAGTTTCTAAGAATCTAAATATTACAGCCCGGGAAGAGTAGTTATCTATCAGTTTAGGATAGTAGTAGTTAGAACCAATATGTATAGACCTTCTACCAGTTTATGGGCCAAGATAGTGCAGGGTCTTCTTCGAGGGCTCCATCTTTGGAGTCTGTTCAATATAAGCCTTTCAACCCTAAGACATTATGGCACCCTAAATGGGCCCTCATTTCAAAGGAAATCCTTCAAGGAACCCTAGACCCTAAACCCTTAACCCATAAACCCCTAAACCCTAAACCCCTAACCCTAAACCCCTAAACCCTAAACCCCGAAGCCCTAAACCCCGAAGCCCAATCAGAAGGGTTTGCGACCACTTCTGTCGGATAGGATCTGCACAGCTACTACCGGGCCTTCGGTGGCCACGTGGCGGGCAGGCGGGCCGGTTTCAGGGGCTTGGGTTCAGGTTTGAGGGTTTCGGGTTTAGGGTTTTGGGGTTTAGGGTTTAGGGAGAGTTTTTTGGTTCAGGAGTTTAGGGTTTAGGGATTAGGGTCCATGTGTCCTATGGGAAAGGACATGAAAATCCATTCTTCCAATCATACTTGTTGCTTCATCAAAACCCTAAAGCTTTGTGTCCCGAAAAGGGCAAGGACCCAACAAAGAACACTGGATCCTGACTACAAGCGTTTCTGATTCAAGTAAACCTATTTTCCGATATCCTCCATGTAGCCTTCAGGCCCAACTCATTGTACTGACAAGGCAGCACTGCAGCATCGCAAATACATCAAAAGAGGCAGTATCTTGACAGCAATTTCTTTTGTTTCGAGACGACTCCTTAGAATGAAGAGGGCACCTTTCAACACATGGCAGCGCGTAACTCAAGCCCTGCATCCCACGAGCTTCAGTGAGAATTGCAAGTGTTGCTCTGAAAAGAACATATACGCAGGGTCTCTAACGCAGCTAGGGGTTTCAAGGCTTGATAGGGGGCCTTAAATGATTACCTATACTACCCTGGGGGTCCTTACCGTAATTTCATTATAACATGCCCCAAGACCCTATTCTAATTATTAGGGCCCCTCTATAAGGGCGTGAGGGCTAAACCCGCCGGCACACCCTGCCCACAACAGGCCAGCCGCGGATGTCGAGGCAGGGCGCGTGGCAATGGAGGGCGATGTTTGTTAACATTCCCTTCCCCCTCCCCCCAAAAAACCTAGAATCTAGATCCTGAGCCATCTCTCAGTATTCTACTGCCGAACATCCGCAAAATACTACTAAATGTCCGAATACCGTACAGTTGTACTTGGAAGCTTCCCAGCCCCAGAACTTTCCTACTCCGGGTCAGCTCTTGCAGTCTCTAGTTGTTCTAGATTGCCAGGACCCTCTTTGTACCCTCAAATAGGGGTATGTGGTCCCAAATTAAGGGCATTTAGGGGTCTAATAGAGGGTAGATGGAGGGTCTAGGTGTCTATTGTGTATTTTCATATTTGCGCATGGTCTATAACCGAATATTATTGTTATTGTTATTCTTGGTGTAATGAAGAAATTGTTATTGCTTTTAGTATAACATCTACTACGAAGGGATCCTATGTAGCAGCCCCAAATCCTGAAAGCGCCCTAAACCCAAAGCCCCTAATGCCATAAGCCACGAAAGAAATTGTATGCCCCCAAAACGCAAGACCACAGTAATTGCTCGGATCATCTCTGATCTGAGAAGAAGCATAAAGACACGTACCCATCAAGAAAGCGCAGGTCAACGAACCAAATGAACATGAACCATGGGAACCCCTCCCTGTGTAGGGCTACTGCTGATGATATAAATCTTTAAGGGGGCCCAAAACTACGGGAATTATGGTGTATCTTCATTATTATGGGTAATTTACATGACTTATATCATCAACCGTATCACCCTCAAAAATTGCAAAGCCCTCAAACTCTAGGACTCTATGAGCAATAGCAGCCCTAATGGTCCCGAAGAGGTTCTCCCGTTCCTCCTGGCCGTGGCCACGTCCTCTGAGGTCAATGTCGAGGCCATCCACTGCATAGCTTTAGGGTTTAGGGTTTAGGATTTAGGGTTGAGTGTTTCGGGTTTGGGGTTTAGGGTTTAGGGTTTGGGGTTTAGGGTTTAGGGCGATGCGAAACAAGAGCGGGGGGGTCTGCGTCTAAGGGTTGAGTACTGTTGATGATCTAAATCCTGCATGACCTTAAGGACCCTAAACTATATGGGAATTATGGTATATTCCTTTCTATGGGTGCTGCAGGATTTATATCATCAACCGTAGGGTTGATGGTTGGGGCTGAGGTTTCGGACATAAGTAGACATTTTGAATGAAGCGAAGGGTGGGGTGGGGTTACCAAACTCACCCCACCACCTCTTGAAATCTTCTGGAAGCCAAGAGGAGCAGTTGTGGGCGGCTTCGGTTTGACAGGAATGAGCCGAACTGGGCTTGAACTGTGATGCCCAAGCCAAAGAGAAGCCCATTGAAGAAGGGTCTGCAATGTCGCGGTGGTCTGGTCTCCAAACCTGAGGACAGAATTTGCACATCTTCCTGGACCAATGTACTCAAGCCTAGATCCATAGACCATCAAGGTCGAGGGTTCCGGTCCACTCCAATCCAAGAAGCAGCATATACTTGTAGCTCCAAGCCCTACAAGAAAGTAGGTGTAGGTTTTGAGACAATAGCAGAGTGCAGCCTTTGTAACTTTAGATCCATGGGTGTTGCCCCCTAAACCCGA